ACAATACATTACACATAGTAGGTGCTCTTATAAATATATGTATAATAAAGGAATAAATAAATCCATGCACTGCATAAAATTCATAAAAAACGGAGACCTATATAACAGTATCATTGATTTCTTCTGTAGGAAATTTAGCTCGATTCAGTATTTATTATGTGCCTACTATGAGCACAGGGCACATAAAGATAGTAAGACAAGGCATTAACTCATATTAAGGGAGAAAGAAAAACATATAATAAAATAAGCTGTAATGCGGTTAAACCTTAATAATGAGTATGTAAGAAACATAAATAAAGTACAATGAGAGCACAGAGGAAGACAGAAGTCATTCCTCTCACCACTGATATGGGCAAGATACCTGCTAAAGGATACAGGATATCTCCTTCATGGGGTAGAAAGGGGATCATATACAATTAAAGTATCTTGGATTCCCAAAACTGGACAAGGAGAACAAATTGATTAACATACTTTCAGAATATAAGCATAGGCTAAACTTGTGGAGTAAATTAATCTCCAAGTCCCTGGAAATCAAAGTCATCTACAAACTATCACACAGAAGTACCATTTATATCCTGAGAAGAAAAAAAAAATCTGATCTTCTTTTCTTCTTTGTCTTGTATTTCTCTTTCCCAAGCTCTGTTTTGTTCTTCTCTTTTTCCAGTTCTGCCATTCCATTTAGGTGGGTGGCATTACTGGTGAATATAATGTTGTTCTGTTTTTCTTGCAACTAGTAAAAAGGGGTGCGATTGCAGTATGTGTAGTATAGGTTTTAGAGTAATTTACAGCTGGATTCTAATCCTCGATCTACTATTTGCTTACTGGATGACCTTGGGCAAGTCTGCTTAACCCCTATGCTGCAGTTTCTTCGGCTATAAGATGTGAAAATATTACCTAGTTCATAGCACTGTTGTGAGAATCAAACAAAATAGTAAGTTACTACGCTAGAACTTAATTATAGAAGTTACCATCATCTTATTATACATTTTGGTGGGCACAGATGCTACTTTAAAGTTAATTTAAAAAATGTCTCATAATGTATTTAACTTTCTGCTCAATATGGAGTTTGGTGACGATAATGATGGCTACCTCCAGTGCAGGCCATAGGTGAACCGGGAATGGTGAATGGAAAAAAACAAAACAAGAAATAAAGGCTTTTGGATAATAATTATCAGTGTGAAATAATGTAATAACTATCAACGAGAAAAATCTCTATGAATTGACCATCTAGTCCTTGTGGGCAAACGGCAATTTTATGTGGGTGGATTTGTGTCATTTCTATTCACACCTGGAAAAATTTGATGACTACTGCTCTTACTTCATCTAAAATTTATACCTTCAAATAGCCTCTCAGTTCACTTGAAAAGCTATGATATCATTTGGTTTCCATCGTCATCTTAAAGACCATCCTTAATTCTATGACCTATTCCCCCATTGGTGCTATCTTACTTTGCGGTCATTGATTATGCTTCCGATTGACTTGATAAATAAATGAAAATAATGATGTGGTATTGAGAAAATGATTTAACATGTAGCCCTGGTCATCTGCACTAGGCTGGATGAAACCACCCTACCAGGCCCTACACCTAAGCATGCATATGCTAATCAAGGCAGCTTAGATGTTTTCTTACTGGTTTTTCCTTTTTAAAATCATGGTCCAATTTATTACTTTTGTCACTAAATACAACATTATTGAGAATTCACTGGATACATAGCAGTAAGATAGTCAAACGGATTTCACACAAAATGTGGACAGTACAGAAGACACAAGGTTACAGAAGAAAGCCTCTGAAAGGTAAGAGGATAGTATACTAACCAAATTTTTTACTGATTTGAAACACACTTTGTTTCCTGGGCAGTAATAAATGACTACATTTTGCAGCTCATCTGGGAGACAGATAAAGCCTCTAATTCCAGGCTCAGAAGCTCCCATGAATGCCAGTCAATTGCCATATTTGGACTATCTCACTTTATTAAAGAACTTCGGGGGTTTTAAGAGAACAATAAGAAAGTGGGTTGTCTTTCTCACAAGTTTCTGAGACAACACCTGCTGCCCACCAGTGGGCTCCTATTTGCTGTAAATCACTGAGATATAAGATTTTGCCTTTATGCTTTCATGCAAATTTAAGCACACAAAAGAGCAGTAGTACTGTCTTGTACATTAGATTCAGTAGAGTGAAGTGGGTCTCTCGAGACCTATTTAATCTTTTTCTAAAAGAATAGGCAAATTTGGGGGAGTAATTACTCTAAGTTGTGTCAATCCACAAGGTACAAAGATATATATTTTGCTGTGTGTGGAGGAGAATGGCAGCAAATAGCACCCAAAACCAAATTTAATTTCTAGTAAATACAGAGAGGAGAAAAAACAATCCATAAACTTGATCAATGGGTTTCTAATTAATTAGTTATCTGAAAAAGCCAGGGCACCTTCACCTTTTCGTGTGTGTGTGTGTGTGTGTGTGTGTGTATGGGTGTGTATGTGTGTAGTATACATGTAGGTGTGTGTGTATACAGATACACGTACACATAATTCATAATCTTTGAGGACTTGGCAGCTGGGGTGGAGGTAGGGTCCTTCATGAAAAGTTTTAAAATTGTTGATTAATTTTTAAGTCATTGGACTTGATATCTACACCAGATAACCCCATAAAGATAGATCAAAGCACATGCACAATTCTGGACTGAGTCTGCAGAAAGACAGATTTAGCAAATAACAGCTAGTTAGGTCTTTCCGTCAGTGAAGGAGAAAGCACCACACTGGTCTCATAATATGTTTGATTATTGATTAGGCTTTGTCACAGCTACAAATATGACTCTTCTCATTAAGAAGATCTCAGTTCTTAATAATGCAGTCCGTTGTTGTGAAGCCAGAAGAGATACTTGTAGCACTGAATGCTTAAATCCAGTTTCCCAGTAAGGTCTGCGTTCCCTAACCCCACCCCACCTTTAAATCTCTTTCCACTGTTGAAAATATGTATGCGAGAGAGTTCACCATTTGATGCACATTCTAACTTTATAACTTAACTCATCTATAAAAAAACCTGGAAAACACTTATTAGTGTAACAATAAAAGAATAGATCTTTCCCTTTAATGCAACTCTGTAACATACATTCTTAAACCTCATGTCACCCAATATGGCATTTGTATTTTATCTTCTAATTCATGTTATGAATGCAGAGAGCTGCCATTTTTTAAACTAAAAAATATTAGGAGTTCACTGTCTTTTTGGATTTCTTTTAAGGCCTTTTCAGTAGAGCCAAGCTGATGTGATAATGTCTATGCATGGTTTTGTTATTGTGGTAATAACAGGTCCTAGCTTACCATAATATGTAGTACTAAGTTGGGTCTGGGAACAATGGCATAGTGCTTTTTGGTAATTGGTAAATAGTATGTTTTTGTCTAGTTTAATTAGAAATCAGAAAGAGAGAAAGAAAATATTTTTCATATATACAAAACATTCTATTTAATAAAGTATATGCATAAAATTATATACTGGGTAAGAAGCGAAATTAAAAAGAGAACAGCTTATAATATTCCTGATTAATAAGAGTTCTAAATATAAAACCAACAAATGGAAACGCCTTGCCATTTAAAAAAATTAGCACATTATACAACTTTTACAGACTTCAGAGGAAATAAAGATCTTGTGACACTGTTCTGAGGAATCTTTACATTTATAAAAATCGAAGGCCTAATTTTGCAAATACAACTTTCAAGCTGTATGAGCAAATTTAACTTACATGAAAGGCACAGGATGACATCACGTTGAAGAACGTATCTGTAAATTTCATAAAATCCAGTCACAAGTCACTAGAAATTTCATAAGGAATCTCAGAACTGTTTTTAATATGATGTTCTGACTCAAACTGAGAACTGGAGAGTCTTTATATCACAAGTACAAATTCAAGAGTGAAGAAGACTGAGAGAGAACAGTTTCTTATTTGAATGCTACCTGCTTTATGCAGTGTTGTTTACGAAGTTCTCAGAGCAGATAATTAAAATTAAAATTCTCTTGAACTTGAATTGTTTTCGATTTTCAACAGCTTATCTACTATTTTTTTTAGTTTGTAAAAAATGTATTTTCACGTTACTACAATTTTAAAGAGTCGGTCGTGGAAAGAAATGTTAAAGTCCTGCTCTATTAGCTTCCTACATTGGAATACAGGAATACAGAAAGTGCTTTCAACAGAAAGTTACGTAGTTCTACAGGACAACCTGTCTAAAAGACTTGCAAGGGACCAGTACAGGGACTGGGTCTCTTTGGATCAGGCAAAAGCAGAGGCAAATGAAGAAATGAGCTTTTTTTTTCCAAAGTGACATATAAAAAAAAATTCCTTTATGAAAATGAAGACTCGCTTGCACTTAAGATTTAGTGCTATTAAGAAGAACTGAGGCACAAGGAAACTAAGTGCACAAAGGAAAAATATCTGAAATGAAAGTGTTTTCTATGTAATTGAAACCCTTCACCGTTAGATATGCCTCATGACAGAGCTGGAGACGTACTTCTTCAGATTAAAGAACATTACCAACCCCAGGGACAAGCCAGTCAAAAATACGTGTTTCCTGGTTAGCGTTTGCGGGGGCAGGGGCGGTGGGGGGGGGGGGGGGGGGGGGGGGGAGTGGACACTACAACAGTGTTGCAACTAAGGATTCTGATTTTAAAAAATCGGTTACAATTTTGATTTTTCATGAAAGTCCTGGCTCTTTGCTAAAGTGAAATTAACTTCAAACCAAAAGCATGTTCTTAAAACTCTGGAGAACTGTTAACTGTGATGATGTAAGTTTCTCATTTCCCAAACAAGCTCTACCAGAGACACATCTTTTCTTCCTTTATGTCAGGATTAGACGCTCTTTCCACACAATTTAAAGCATTCTGGTAGAAGGTTGAGGATGACGCTCCAAAGAACAGCTCTTCTAATGGTGACTAGGTAAAAACAGTAATGCTGCAATCAGAAATAATGCTGCCTTGGGGACTGTAATTGCTTGTTTATCCTATTCCTCATGACTCTAGTAACGCATGCCATCTACACACTTGCTGTCCCTTCGACTCTTTCATTTCAGTCCAGTGATTGAGCTCCTCTTCTCCAGAGCTGTTCAGACCTAAAGAAATCCAGCCTATCATCTCTTTCCTTTTCATGCTGCGTTTGTTATACACAGACAGTATGAGTGTCACATCAGAAAGTTGAAACAGGGCCACTTGAAAAACAAATGTTTCCTTGTATACTGGATTAGGCTGCCCTCTGCGGATGGATGTCTTGCATTTGGACATCTCTTGACCCATGGAATTCAGGAGAGTTAATTTAACATACGTATCTAAGGAAAAAAACAACAACATACCACAAATATCATTTGAAACAAACTCAAGACACCTTACTTGTGACATCTGCCGAGAACATTAAGTATTTATACTTTATAAGGATATGGTGTATACCATGTTTCATGGAATTTCAACTGATTCCATTTTGATGTAGATGCTTATTCAATGTGCCAAGTACAGAGAATGCTAGGTAGGCAGAAAATCTTTTGTGGGTCATAATATCTTAACCTCGCTATTTCTACGTTATGGTTAGAATTTAAAGGTATACCTCATAATCCTTCCTCCACCCTCCCACCCTCCGCTTCCCCTCTCCCCCACCCCCGCTCCCCAGCCTTGACCTCCCACTCCCACCCCTGTCCAACCCCATCCCCATTTAGCTTCACTAAGCAGGACGTCATAGCATTAATAAACACTTAGCAAGCTCAATTAGCCACAACACTGTAAAGCATTCCACTGTGTTTTCAGAGAATAAGAATAAACAAACAAATAGAAATGAAGGCAAATGGAAAAGAGGAAAAGAAGACAAGAATGCAAAGATGACATCAAAACAGCTTAGGATGAAATGTCAAAAAAATCTCTGCATGGATGTGGTTTTTAAATATATTTTAAAAACATTTAAAAGGGCCAAAATGAAGCCAAATGCATTAGGGTTCAAAGTTTAGCAAATCAAGTAAAACTTTCTCCTGGTTTCATGCAAGAGTACATTTAATGTGCTTTTTGGGTAGTTAAAATAAATACTACAGGGATTCTTTTTTGGCATAATTGAATGTGAAATTTAAAGTATGGTATTCTTAACTATTTTCATGAATTAGAAAAAAAACTGATGTGATGTTTCGTGTACAAAGTGAAACACAACAGTTCATCGCCTGGTTATTTGGAAGATAAACCCTCTCTTCAAACAACTGTGTTTTCAAGTTGGTTAGACTCATGCAAATGACCTTCAGCATGGTGATCCATCATGTGTACTTCATATCAAAATTTCAATTAATTTTAATGACAATTGCAATATTTCTCATGAAATATCTATTATATGAATCAAAATACAATAAATGAAAAATAAAACCTTTAATTTAAAAAGTTTTGCTTATTTTATACATACTCTGAATACCATCATCCATAATCAGAGATAAATTCTAAGTTAGTTTTATTTAAAGTACCACAGATAATAAATGTGCATTTTGTTTTGGAAACCAACATGGTGGACAGCTTCACTGCTGGCAAGTTTTAGGGTATTTTGTTTTTGCATGAAAAGACAACATCCAATTAGCCTCTACAGGAACTCACCTCGGATTATATAAACCTGTCCACCTATCAAGTGTTTTAGACAACAGAACAGTCCATCTGACAACAGGGGGTGGAAAGCAGTAAAAGAAATAATGACCAGATGTCAATTGTTGGGTGAAAGAGGGTCAAAGGTTAGAATTAAAGAGGAAACACTGTTCACTGGGGTGGAAGAACACAAAACTTCAGCATTTTAATTGAGGCAGAGGGCTGAACAAAAGGGTTGCTGGGTAAATTTCATGGAATGAGAATTTTTAAGGTCATTGTGTAATCTTAAACAAAAATTACACTGTTTTAAAGGGGGACATCTTTATAATGATATCCTCTTGGTCTAAAGCACATTGAACATAGAATCATGCAAATTATCAGACTATAAAAGACTGAATAAAAGTCATTATATAATTATTATTATGCTAAGTTTTGAAGTCTATCCATGCAATATTAAATATTTCAAATACTTCTATTACTTTCAATGTAATATAAAGTTAAGTTAAACAAAAGAAAATAGAACTGTCAAAATTTTTGCTCTTGAATGTCCCCATGTTTCTTTCGATTATTCAGTCGATAACACAGTTCAAGGCCTACAACCAGGTATATACAAAGGGTCACAGTCTTATATAATGTATACAGTATACAACAAACTGATACATTACTTTATAAATACTCCACTTCTTACAATTAATTTTAATGTTGACTTTTTTACCTACTAGCTGCTTCCCAGTTAACACCATTAACCACCCTGATGCTGACGATCTAATTCTAAAATAGGATTGTTCTGTTTTAAATTGTTTTATTCTATGAATTGTTCTAACTAACCCTTACCTACTCTAAGTTTGGATGCATTATAACCTCTCACCCTGTTTATTATCCACCCCCGCTCTCTTCATTTTAGCTCTGGTTAGTGTTTCTCTGTTTCTATCAGAGTGGGTACAGCAAGGACAGAAAGGCAAGCATATCATTCCATTCTGCTATTTTTTAGTATTTCAAACTGAGTATTTGTCAAAAAATCAAACTGTTAGCTAAAGCACAAATGGCAAACTGATAGCTGCTGGCCGGATGTAACCCCACATACTTATTTTGTTTATCTGTTACAGTGTTCAGAAGTTTTCGATTTGAATGTCTTGAGGCTGGGCATGCATGCTTGCATCTGGCATGTGCCTCACCATGCTCCTTATCTCCTGCCTGCAAAGTTTGTTCATTTAAGGTACTTTCCAGGCCAGGCCACGTGAGTTTGCATTCTAAATAGGTATCAATAAAGATAACCCTGGCCACACTTCCAAAGTTGTTTATTTGAGTAATTGCTTCCTTCCCCCCTCTGAATTGGGGGACAATAATAATTCCATCCCTCTTTTATGCACCTTCGTCTGACTTCAGTCTTAGATAACCCTGTGAAAGACACAGCCTTAATTTCACATATGAGGAAACAGACTTAGGGAGAGTTAGGTTATTCATCCAAGGGTAGAAATATAAACATAATTTTGGCCTTCTGACTTTTAATTCAGGAAGAGATACATTCCATGATGTCTGTAAGAAGCAAGGTTTCCAATATTACTTAGGGAAAATCAAATATATTTTTATGACTTTTCACTTAAATTGAAAAGACAATGTTTAGGACATTGGGAAGTAAAGTTCATTTAATTCAAGGGTAGAAAAAGTTTCCCCTCCAGTAATTATTTAATACTTGGAGTAAAAGATGGCTTTTAAGCAAGTCTGTGGGAAATCTTTAAGCAAATTTAAGGTGGCCATTACTAGTTAAAGATTTCCTTTCAATTGTTTAGGGCACTAACAGCCTTAATTTTAGAGAAGTATAAAGAAGCTGCTACATTCCTAGCTTATTTCTACAGATATCAATAAACATTTAGGGAGGTGTACTGACAGTCTCTCTGTACTCCCATAATCCGCCCCCATGCCTGTGAGCGGGAAAAGAGACAAGGAAAGGGGAGTGAAAGGCATAGGGACCAGAGCAGAGGCATACCTTCTCACTTTCCTTTCCTAGTGTCTAGGGGAAATATCGAACTATTCCTTATTCTGTTTGTCCTGGTAAAGGCAAAGCCACGCCATTTAAGAAAAGACTGCAGGCAGTACCGATTTATAACATTAAGGGAGGAAAACTGTGAAGAAGCAGTTTCTTCTTAAATTATCACAGGGGAGAAAAGAGAAAAAAATATAGAAGTATAAACATTAGTTCATAGTACTGCATGCAGACAGAAAATACAACATCAATCTTAAGTTGACAACAACAGCCATACAGATTCCTGTGATCGTATCTGTGGAATATTATTAACTTTAAAAAAAACCTGTAACTTTTTCTAGCACTGGAAGATAATGGCTATGATAGGGATAATTTATTCGGCAGGCACTATGAAAAATTAAAAGTCTTGTCTCCTTACAATTAATATTTTGAATTTCAAATTTTTCTACTTCCCAAATGACTGGAAATAGAAAGCATGAAACAGATTAGCTGATGATTATTACACCATTTCATTTTGATCAGTTAAGACTAAATGATAGGACTGAGGCCCTTAACACTGAGAGTCCCATAAGTGCAGGAAACAGAAGAATTAAAAAAAAAAAAAATTTTTTTTTTTTTTTTTTTTTTACTCACTGGGTGGTCTGTTTGCTGCCAAGTTTTTGAAGTGGCTGCCTTTTATCACTTCTGCTGATAGTCTGCCAGTTGTGGCATTGTAAAGCAGGCCAATGAGGATTTCTGGAACGGAGCCATGTTCAAGAGACTGGCATGAGGATGTACTTTCGCTACAGGACATTTCTGACATGCTCATTTGGGAGTCACAGCCCTGTAATCAAGAATGAAATCTTTATAGTATTTTGAAAAAAAAGAAAAAAAAGATATATTAAGAGATACAGCATAAATGCTGTGTCATTACAATTGGGTAAATCACAAGAAAGACAAGAGCTGCAAGCAAAATTCCCAAAAAGCTAGATTCGAAGAGTTGTTCTTAGCGTATTTTAGTCTCTGGATCTCTTTTCATTACACGGCAGTCAAAGAAATAATAGGACATGAGTAGGTTTCATAAATCCCCATGTATTTATATACAGATCAGAAAGGACAAACTTCTTAAACTCATAGGTGTCAGTGAACTATTTTTGGAATGTGAAAAATTGTTGTTTAAAGACTTATTAACCTTAAAGACTGACACAGACTTAGACTCAATTACATTAAGCATAAATGTCTTTACTGTGTCTTTAATGACACAGAGTGGAAAACTTTGATTAAATAAACAAGACAAAAACTTCTGCTACTTGTAAGTCAATATGTAAAACTGAGATATAGAAAGTTTAAAAGGATGGGAAATTACTTATCATGCAAATAATAACCAAGAGAAAATTGGTATAGATAGATCAGTATAAGTCAAGGTTAGCTTAAAGGCAATAACCTCTACTAGAGAGGAAGAGTAAGCTCAATTTGAACTTTCATTTTACCACGAAGATAAGGTAACTCCAAATTTGCAAGCACTTAGTAACAGGTGCTTAAAATACAGAAAGCAGGATTTGCCAGAACTTAGAAAGAGAAGTAGGCAAATCAACAACTAATGGGGATAACTTGAGCATACTTCTTTCAGTAACTGACCAAACAGATAGACAAATAAATGCAGTAAAAATGTAGAAGATTTGAATATCACAATAAGCAAAACTGACCTAAGGGTAATCTGTAGAACACCATACCCCACAACTATGAAACACACATTTTTTCAAGCACACAGTGGTAGTTTTACAAAACTAATTACAAAAATAAAGCAAAGAGCAAAGATTTTTAAATGGCAGGACTCTTTCAGGATAGGTCTTTTAATCAGGTAGAAATCAAAACTATCTTCTAGTAAAGAGGAAAAAGTGCCCTATATATTTGGAAATAGCCCATGGTAACTAAATGATAATGAAGACAAGTTATCAGAAAAGAGTAATAAAAATAAACACTGGAGAGTCCAATTTAAGAAGAAAGAGAGAAGGCACAAAAAACAGGAATGAAAACGGAGACGTCACTACCTATGCTATGGATTATAAAAACATAAAAGGAACGTAAAAAAAATTTTCTTCCAACAAATTTGAAATTCTGATGAAATGGATAGATTCCTGGAAAACTACAACTAACCAAAATGCACACAAGAAGAAATAAAGTATCTAAATAGTGTTACTGAAAAAATTGAATTTATAACTAAAAACCTTTCCAAAACAAACAAAAAACAAAACTAAAAAACTTTAGGTAGATGGCTTCACTGGTGAATTCTAATTAATACTGCTAATCTTATGAAAACTCTTCCAGATGGGGAAAGAGGAAACACTCTCTAGTTTTACTTCAAGACTCTAGCAAAACCTTAAAGACAAAGCCTGACAAGGACATTATTTAAAAAAAAAAAAATACAGGATTTTCTCATTCATGAACTTTGATTTCAAACCCTAAATAAACAACTGGCAAACCAAATCTAGCAATATATAATATCATACTTAATAGAAAAATTTTTGGATGTTTCCCCTTTGAAATTGGGGATGTGACAATAATGCCAACCATTACCACTTCTAGTTAACATTGTAGTGGAGATTCTACTCAGTGAAGCCTTACTGAGCCTTACTAGCCTTACTTAGCTCACTAAGCCTTACTAGCCTTACTAAGAAGAGAAAGGAAGAGAAGAGAAGAGAAGAGAAAAAGAAGAGACGAAAAGAGAAGAGAGGAGAAGAGGAGAAAAGAGGAAATGAAGGAAAAGGAAGTAAAAGAAAAGGAAAGAAAAGCTATGGAAAGCCTTACTAGCCTTCTAAGGGCAAGAAAAGAAAAAAAGGGAAGGGAAAAAGAAAAGAAGAGAAGAAAAGAGAAGAGAGGAGAAGAGAAAAGAGGAAATGAAGGAAAAGGAAGTAAAGGAAAAGGAAAGAAAAGCTATGACAAAAAGATTTGGAGGGGAGGAGATAAAACTCCTTATGTGCCTATTATGTAACTATGTGTACCTGAAATCTAAACAAGTGCACAGATGAATTACAATTGCATACAAAGATAAAAATTATAAATCAACACATTGTTATATACCAACTAAACTTTGAAAATACAATTTATTCAAAAATAGCATCTGTTAGAACATAAGATATAAAATATCCAGGAATAAATGTACAAATGATATGTGAGGCCTCTACATAGAAAACTATGAATATTACTGAGGCAAACTGAGAAGTGCTACATAGATATACCACATTAATGTATTAGAAAGCCCAATTTTGTTATATCCTCTCCAGATTGACCAGTAGATTAAATGCAGTAACAGTCAAAATCTCAATAGGTTTCTTTGTGGAGCTTGACAAAATAATCCTAAAGTGCTCATGGTATACACATACAATGCAGGATTATTCGCCCTTAAAAAAAGGAAATCCTGCCATTATGTGACAACATGGGTGAACCTGGAGGACATGAGGCTGAGTGAAATAAGCCAGGCACAGACAAATACTGCATGATTCCACATACATGAGATATCTAAAAAAGTCACACTCACAGAAGCAGAAAGCAGAATGTTGGTTGCTGAAGGGTGGGGGTAGTGGAATGAAGAGGTGCTGTTCAATGAGCATAAAGTTACAGTTATGCAAGATGAATAAGTTCTAGAGGTCTGCTGTACGACCCAGTGCCTGTAGTTAACGATACTGTGTTGTATACTTACGCATTTGTTAAAGGGTGGACATCGTGTTAAATGTCCTTTTTACCAAAATATAATATAATGAAATGGCATGAAATAAAAATACATGGCAGAATGCCCTGTTCTACTGAGTATCTACTGACTATCAAAATTTATTATAAAGTTACATCATTTACGACAATGTGACAAAAACAATGTACAACAGACTATCAGAATAGAAAGACCACAAATTAACCTAGGCATACACAGACACTTAATTTACAAGAGTGGAACCACAACGCAGTGGGGAAAGGATCATAATGAATAGGGCTAAGACAACTGGCTATCCACCCAGAAATCAATGAAAACTAACCCCTACTTCAAAACATGCCAGAAAGTCAATTCTGAATCTAAATATAAAAAGAAAAATGATAGGGGCACCTGGGTGGGTCAGTCAGTTAAGCATCTGACTCTTGATTTTGAGTCAGGTCGTGATGTCACAGTCTGTGGGACTGAACCCTGCATGGGGCTCTGTGTTGACAGTGTGGAGCCTGCTTGGGATTTTCTCTGTTCCTCTCTCTCTGTCCCTTCATCTCTCTCTCTCTCTCTCTTTCTCAAAATAAATAAAAAAAACTAAAAAAAAGCAAAATGATTAATCTATATGTTAACATAGGGGATCATATTCATGATCGCAGGGTAGGGAAAGACTTCCTACAGAGGTTACAAAAGCATTAATCATAAAGGAGAAGTTTGGTGAATCTGACAAAATTAAAATTAAGAATTTCTAAGCTTCAGCAGAGACTTTTAGGATGGCAAAGAGGCAAACAATCAGTTGTGAGAAGAGGTCTACAACACATATAGTTAACAATCAGCTCAAATCCAGAATATGTAAAGAACACTTATAAATCAATAAGAAAATGACAACGCAATATAAAAGTGAGGAGACATCTGAACCAGCAATTTCACAGAAGAATAGCCAATGAAATATATGAAATGTTGTTCATTAGTAATCAGGGAAATGGAAATTAAAACCATGAGGTGTCAATGCACAACAAACAGCCTAAAATAAGAGTGTGGTGAGTTCACAGAGCAATGGGAACTTACATGTTCCTCTGGTGGTAAAGTAATATGGCTTTTAAAAATGTTAAAAATACACTTACCTTATGACATGGCAATACATACCCATCAGAAATATGTACCATGTTTATCAAAAGCCATATGAAAGAATGTCCATAGCAACATTATTCACAAGGGCCCCAAACAGCAGAAAGGATAAATAATCTGTGGTGACTTCATACAATATAGCAACAATACTGTACATATACAGCAACAAAAACTAATTATAACTACATTTACAAACATGACTTAGAGTGAAAAATGCTGAACCTAAACGGATACTTGGCTGTGTAATTTCATTTATGTAAATTTCAAAAACAGCAACCACAAAAAACAAAACAAAACAAAACAAAACCAAAAACAAAAGAACAGACAAAACTGAACCACAGTATTTCCAATGCATGAATAAGTGGTAAAACTATAAATCAAGCAAGTAAGTGATTAATATAAAAGTCAAAATTGTGGTTAACTCTAGGGGTGGGGAGAGAAGGTACAGTGATTGGGAAGGGCATGCTGGGGCTAGCTGTGGGTACTGGTAATGTTTTATTTCTTGCCCTGGATTGCAGTTACATGGGTAGTACATTTCTGTTTTTCACACTTTTCTAAAGTGTGCTGGATTTCAGAAGACAAAGGTTTAATGAAAGAATTATATGATACAAGTATATAATATATACACAAATTAATGTACAGTGATAAAAGTAAACATTTAGGACTTTATTTGAAGATTCCTAAGAGGATTAACTCCACAAGTTCCACAAAAAAAGATGATAACGCTTTTTTCTATAATGGACTTCCATATTTAAAATATATTAGATGTAGATTTTCAGATTTAAAAAAAAATCTAAAAATGTTTTATACAAATCCTCATGTCTGAGTCTACGGTTGGCTATATAAGTAATTAAGGAGAATTAATACACACCTGGAAACTGAATTAACTCACTGGACTAGTATTTAGATGGAAAAGTCTCATCTTTTCAAATTTAACTCTAAATCATAGAGGAGAAAGTCAAAAGGAATATACATCTTGTATTTCTAAATCATGGGTACACAAAACACACAGTTTGGTATGTTTT